GAGCTCAGCGGCAGCTGTTACAGCAGCAGCGTTGCAACTGCAGGTGGGGTTTTGTACCCTGGGGGTGTCATTGTCCTGACGAAAACAGCAGAGCAGGGTTTGGGGTCACACGGTCCTTTGTGGAAGCCAAAAACCTCTCAAGTGAGGGATGGAGGGAAGAGGGCTTAGGCAGGTGGAAAGGGCAGCCCCGCTCTGCCCTCGCCCCTCCGCTGCTGGGCAGGAGGAGCAAGGCGGGGACAGAGCAGCAACAGCCCCCACAGCCACGTCGCTCAGTGGCACCAGCCAAGTTGTCTCGCTGGAAATTCCCGTAAGTGCTGCAAAGGGCACGGCAGGGTGTGAAACGAGGACATGGCCGCAGCCAGGGATGTCCCTTTTGGGCGCCAGTTGCTTGTACGGTATTTGCTGTCCTATCTCCTGATCTGTGGGCTCGGGTGCTTTGCCCATGGCCAGCTGTGGGTGTCAGAAGCAGGCGGAGGCTGGGAATGTCCCACATCTCCTCCATCCTTCCCGCTGTGACGCATGGGCCTGGCCTGTCTCTGTCGCCGCAGGTTGTGGGCAGCATGGATGCCCACCCCAGCCGGGACTGGGCCACGGTGCGGCAGCCACAGACTCGCCAGGAAATCATCGAGGACTTGTCCTACATGGTGAGGGAGCTCCTTATCCAGTTCTACAAATCCACCCGCTTCAAACCCACAAGGATCATCTTCTACCGTGACGGCGTTCCCGAGGGGCAGCTGCCGCAGGTGAGGACCCCTGGGATCCCCATCAGCCATCGAGGCTGCGCCGGCTCCCGTGGGGTTACCTGAGGGTGCATGGGGATGGCTGGGTGCTGGTGTGTCCCCTCACTCTGTGTGCTCTTGTCTCTCCAGATCCTTCACTATGAGCTCCTAGCGATCCGAGACGCCTGCATCAAACTGGAAAAGGATTACCAGCCTGGCATCACCTACATCGTCGTCCAGAAAAGGCATCACACCCGTCTCTTCTGTGCAGACAAGAACGAGAGGGTGAGTGCCGTGGGGTGCCGGGGCTGGAGGCGGCTGATTCATCCCCAGCCTTTAGGAAGAGCCAGCCCTGGCTTTGCAGAGGGGAAAGCTCACCGTTGGCAGGCAGAGAGCTCTTTCTTGAATGAAACGTGCTGCTCTGTTGACTCCCACATCCATGCGGATTAGGCTGCTTCTAGAAACCCAGACAGCTGTTTGCTGTTATGACGAGTTACTGGGTGCTGATGATCCTGGTGACTCTCTTGAAATAGCCTCTGTCAGCTTGAAAACATCTGTTGTTTTGGTGATAGCGGTAGCCGCTGACATGACAGGATGAATAACCCCTTGCTTGCTCACAGCTTGTTCATGTGTGCTGTGCAGTAACATTGATTGCTGTAGCTTTTCCTAGATTTGATCTAAATTTAGGGGTTAGATCTAGTCTAACCAGACTCTGGCTTTACCTGAACATGAGGATTTAATCTTGGGAACTGAGGACAGTTTTTTGTCAGGGTGCAAAAGCCCCAGTATCTTACGGCAGAGACTCTAGCATACACTCTGCAGAGATCCCTGGAGTTTTGCTCACTTAATCCTCATTTCTACAGTAGGACGGGCCAGTGCCCAGCCCTCACCCTGCCTGCTTTCCTTCTGATGCCGTTCGCTCTATCTCCATGTCGTGCCTGGTGTTGATGCTTGCAGAAAATGCCAGCAAGCCTGTTGAGGCAGGGAGCAGAGCAGGATGAGCTGCTTCTGTCCCCCGTTAACGGGCACTTGGGGAGCGGCTCTGCATGGTGCTCTCAAACTGAGATGCTGAGATGGGGACTCCGTGCCATGGCTGTGGTGCCAGGCAAGTGTGTTATGGACAGTGCTCTGGGCAGCTGGAAATAACCAAACTCTGCAGTGCTTGGATCTCTCTTTCTGTTCCCTGTAGATTGGGAAGAAAAAAACAGCAGGAACAACAGTGGATACAAATATCACCCACCCCTTTGAGTTTGACTTCTACCTGTGCAGTCATGCAGGCATTCAGGTACCGCACTGCGCAGCTGGCTGTTGTGATGCTGCTGGTTTTCTTCGGCTGTTGTTGCAGACTGCGCTCTCGTGCATCTGACCTGGCCCTGTCATAGCCTCCCGTCAGCACCGGAGACGTGGGCAGTTCGATCCAAGCTGCCATTGCGGTGGTTTGGCGAGCAGGTGGCGAGACTGCACTGCTGCTGCATTATGTGGCACGTACTCCATTTCTCTCCTGGAGCCAAGGATCTCTTCTCTGAGATTTTCCTCCTTCAGAGTGGCCAATTCAGCAGCTTGTCAGCTGGTGTCTGAGTGTGCCGGGCTCGCTGGGGCGCCTGGTTGTCAGCAGGGACCTGTTGTCTGGCCGTGGGCGGGAGAGCTGGGGCCAGCCGTCCCTGGAGCAGGCGGTTTGCTTTGCAGCTGCCTTTCTTCAGGCAGCCAAGATTAGTTCAGAAACGGTACTGAAAAAATTGCACTCATTTAATCTACAGCTACTTCTGCAAGAGAGGCTTTTTGGCTTCCTCTCCCCCTGCAAGGGCTGCGGGGAGCTGGCCCGGTTCGGTGTGGAGCTGGTGCGATACGCGATGCAGTGGGCTGTGTGGTGTTGGGAGCCAGGGGTGGCGGTGCAGAAGCACGGGCAGTGCCTGGGCGTGGGGCAGCAGAGTGAATGCTGTGGTTTGCACCTCGGTGCTAAGGGCTTTCCTGCCTCGCGGTGCCTGTGCACGTGTGAGCTTCTCAAATGAGGGAAGCACGGGCATCTCTCCTGGTCAGGTTGTTTTGATCAGGGAGGAGGTGATGAGGATGCGAAGCACCTGCCTGCAGGCAGCACCTCTCACACTGCCCCCTCTCCTCCCCAGGGTACAAGCCGGCCTTCCCATTACTACGTACTCTGGGATGACAACCGGTTCACCGCGGATGAGCTGCAGATCCTCACGTACCAGCTGTGCCATACCTACGTGCGCTGCACCCGCTCGGTCTCCATCCCGGCCCCAGCGTACTACGCCCGACTGGTGGCGTTCAGGG